CAGCAGGAACAGCTCATCCGCATCAGGAACCCCTGGGGTCAGGTGGAGTGGACCGGAGCCTGGAGCGATGGGTGAGTTGGACAGATGGGACTTCAGTCCTGCTGCTGGCAGGCCAGCGAGCACTGCACACGCAGCAAAGTGCACAACACTGCCGAGGGGAAGTTCGCAGCGTGCAGTGCCCCTCACATCGGTGAGAGGGCCAGGTGAGGGCCAGATCTCAAGTGATCTTGATTCACCTTGAGTAGTCCTCATCTAATTGTCTCTCTCCTGCTACTCCAGCTCTTCTGAGTGGAACAACATTGACCCTGGCGACAGGGAAGAGCTGCAGCTAAAGATGGAGGATGGAGAGTTCTGGTGAGTGCCAGAGTAAAGTGCTACTCTTCTTCAGCAGCCAATCTGGGAAGGAGTAGAGGAGCTGGGGAGGAAGAGATCCCGCAGTCCTGCTTCACCCTGAAACACATGACCTGCTTTCATGAGCTGGGTTTCCAGCACTGGAGAGCCTGCTAGTGTTTTCTCATCTGATCTAGTTAATAATTTTCCTCCCTTCAAGGAAATTCAGCCCAACTAAATGCAAACTAAACATGTAGGAAGGGTAAACATCCCTTTTTCCCCAAACTCAGCAGCAGGCTTTTAATGAGCTATAACCGCTCAGGGTAAAAGATCTTGCTGTCACTTAGTTCTCCAAAAACGTTGGCTGGGTCTGGAGCTGCTTGCGCTCTCCTCCCACCCAGCCCCAGCAGTGCCCTGTCCTCAGCCTCCACCTGCCTCCTGCAGGATGTCTTTCCGGGACTTCATGAGGGAGTTCTCCAGGTTGGAGATCTGCAACCTGACCCCCGATGCCCTCACCAAGGACGAGCTCAGCAGGTGGCACACGCAGGTGTTCGAGGGCACATGGCGCCGGGGGAGCACTGCCGGGGGCTGCAGGAATCACCCAGGTACCTCTCCCTCCTGTATCTCCACTCTTGGCAGCGCGATTGAGCAGAGCGTCTCATCCACATGTCTCCTTCCAGCCACGTTCTGGATCAATCCCCAGTTTAAGATCAAGCTGCTGGAAGAGGATGATGACCCTGGGGACGATGAGGTGGCTTGCAGCTTCCTGGTGGCTCTGATGCAGAAGCACCGGCGGCGGGAGCGGCGGGTGGGGGGCGACATGCACACCATCGGCTTCGCTGTCTACGAGGTAACCTCTGCCTGCCCCAATGCTGCTTCCTTGGGACCAGCTCAGGCCCGCCAGTCCTGCCTGGACCTGGCACTCCAGTTCTCAAGGAAACCTCTCCCACCTGCTTTGGCCGGTTTGTGGGTTAATGTTCCCTGTCCCATGCTCCTCGCACTGTAAGGGATGGGGGAAGGAACTGGGATTCTGATTATTTTTTTTTTCCCATTTGTCTTCTCTCCACAGGTTCCTGAGGAGGTATGTCCTGAGCTGCCGGAGCCTACCCCCTCTTGGAGGGGAGCACAAGAGTGGGCAGGAATGGGTTAATGCCCATGCATGCATGTGCACCCAGTGGTGTGGGAGCTCCCCCTGTGCTGGCAGTGGCTAGGGTGCTAATGGGTGCTGGGCACCTCCATGCAGGAGGGATGGCTTCTGCTGGGATGGGCAGGGCAGGGTTGTCCTGCACAACAGGGCTGGCTTTGGTTCTGCCACTTCCTGTGGGTCCCCCCTCCTCTGGTGTGGGGCTGCGGTCCACGAGCACGTTCAATCCCCCAGGCCCAGGGCAGCCAGAATGTGCACTTGAAGAAGGACTTCTTCCTGCGAAACCAGTCGCGGGCACGGTCTGAGACCTTCATCAACCTGCGGGAGGTGAGCAACCAGATCCGGCTGCCCCCTGGCGAGTACATCGTTGTGCCCTCCACCTTCGAGCCGCACAAGGAGGCTGACTTTGTCTTGCGGGTTTTCACCGAGAAGCAGTCGGACACGGCGTGAGTCCCTGCCTGGCCAGGGGACACCCTGTGTCTGTGAGCGGTGGGACATGTCCCCACCGCAGGCAGCCTGCTGGCTGGGGACCCTGCTCATCGCTTTGGTTTCCTCTTTTCTGTCCCCAGGGAGCTGGATGAGGAGATCTCGGCAGATTTGGCAGATGAGGTAGGAGCTATCACTTTGGTTTGGTTGGTGCTGAGGCTCTGGGGCATGGGAGGGGGAGCTGCAGGCAGGAGGTGGCTGCCTGGGTTTGGGATGTCGCTGTGGCTGGAGATGGGCTGGCAGGGTTGAGGTGATGGGGATGTGAGGAGTAACAAAGATGAGAAGAACAAAGAAGAGCTTCCCTTCCAATTTCGGTTTGCTGAGCCTGGGAGGCAGGGGTTGACCATTAACCTCTTCTTTCTGGCCTGTGTCACCCCAGGAGGAAATAACTGAGGATGACATAGAGGACGGCTTCAAGAACATGTTCCAGCAGCTAGCAGGGGAGGTGGGTATGGCTGTGCTGAGCTCTGGGGGGCCCTGGCCCAGGGAGGGTACGAGTTGGGACCCCTAGCCATGAGAGCTCCAGCCCACCCCATGATTGCTCAGTCGAATCCTGCGGACAAGTCCATCTCTGCCATGGCTCAGCCCAGCTGCCCCCAGGGGTGGTGTGACGGGAGCAGATTTGGGGAAGGGGCATCCAGCTGTGGCCCAAACTCTTCTGGGCATGCAGGAAATGCTATGGCACCCTGATGTTTTGTGACTAAGGCAGAGACATTTAGGCAGGAGGAGGGGAATGGCCACAAGTGGGGTGGAGAGCAGCCAAGGGGTGCTGCTAACTCTGCTCCTGCTGCAGGACATGGAAATCAGCGTCTTTGAGCTCCGGACTATTCTTAACAGAGTCATCGCTAGACGTAAGCACTGCCCTTCCCACCCCTTGCCCAGGCCTGCTCAGCAGGTTGCATTTTGATGCACATGCTCAACCTCCTCCTTCCTCCTCAGACAAAGATCTGAAGACGGATGGGTTCAGCCTGGACTCCTGCCGCAACATGGTCAACCTGATGGATGTATCCTCTTGGTGCTGTGGGCAGGGTACAGCTTTCCTGCTGGCAACAAGACTTCTCCATAGGAGCTGGGATTGGCTGTCTGGCCATGCTGAGGCTGTTCAACCAGGGGAAGAGAGGGAGGGAGGGAGTCCTTGTGGCTCTAGAGCCCATCTGCCCTACAACCCTGGGCTCTAGCAGCAGTTTTTTTTGGAAAGGGCCATCAGGTCCCCTGCTTGCTTTGGGCCCTGGCTCCACCACCAGAAGCCCAGCCTAGCCCCACTTGTGCCTTCAACCTTCCCCTCCAGGAAGAACCCTGTGCTTCCCTTCTCTGCAGGTTCCCCAGCCTAATGTGCTGTGATGCCACCCAGCCTTTGAGGTGCTCCTGGAGGGAATCGGGGGCTGTTGGGCTTCTTTCCCCCAAAACTGTCCTGTCCAGCAGTTGAGGGTGAGAGGTGTAAAGCAATAGGAGCCATGGCCTGTGTTCCTGCTTGCACAAGGACATGCAGCTGAGGGGTCAGGCGAGGGTAGAGGAGCACCTCCAAGCCCTTCTCCAGCCTGGCCCTGCAGCATCCCTTTTTGCTGCAGGCCAGCCCAGTTTTGCTCCGAGGACACCACAGCGATGCACTCCTTACAGCAGCGGCACAACTGCTCCTGGGGAGCGGCATGGCAGCTAGTTTAAGCGTTGCACTTTCCCCGCTGGGTTGCAGGTTCTGATCTTGCTGATGCTGCAGGACAGAAAGGGGAAGTTGGGGGGAAAATTGGACAGGCCAAATGTTGCCAGGCTTTTCTCACCTCAGGTGGGTGGGATCTCATGGTTTTGCCTTTACGCCACCCCCTTTGCTGGCTGCTTTCTTCTTGACCCTCTGCTCCCCAGAAAGATGGCAGTGCCCGCCTCGGGCTGGTGGAGTTCCAGATCCTGTGGAACAAGATCCGGAGCTGGCTGGTGAGGAGGAGCGGGGGGCATGGTGCACTGCACAGCTGTAGCATGCCTCCTGGGGCAGCAGGGTGAGGGGACAGCCAGGCCAGAGGCCACAGCAGAGCCTGCCCTTCACGTCCTCTCTGATGTTTTTGCAGACGATCTTCCGCCAGCATGACCTGGATAAGTCGGGCACCATGAGCTCCTACGAGATGCGCATGGCTCTGGAGTCAGCTGGTAGGTCTGCAGAAGGATGGGGCTGGGCTGGGGAGGGACCTCCTGTCGGAGCTCTGTCCCAAGTAGCTGGAGAAGAGTGAGACCAGCCTATATTGCCTCCTTGGAGCCAATCTGTCGTGGTAGTGAAATGTGGCCCGTGTCTGCGCTGGGCTCTCTCCATCCCAGCTGTGCCAAGTGCTAGAGCCTTGGAGTTAGGGACACATGCAAGGTGGTGGCAGCCTCTGTCCTCCTCTGACCTGCAGGGTCCCATCCTGGCAAAGCAGAGGCCTGGGGTGGATCAGTGAGCTAACTAGTCATATGGCTCCCGGAAGAGCAC